AAGAGCTATGGAAATAGATGAAGACCAACCAAATGAGAACACTCAAAGGCTGTTTATTCAGCCCTTCCTGCAACAAGGTTGTCAGAATCCATCACGTGCATTTTCGCAGATTCTCAAAGGCAGGCAGAGGAGTGGTAAAGCCTTATAGTTTAAAAAGGTAAGACTTCAGGTATGCCCTGATTGGGAAGCTGGAGGTGGGCTAAGTAGAAGATGCATCCTACATGATTGGTTAGGGGTACATATTTGGCCTTCCCTGGTTGGTATTATGTTGCAAACAAGGACAAAAATGAAGGAATCTTCATTATTACTAATCATGATTAATAATGGAATTGTCCATTATTAATCATGTCCTGGCTCTTTGGTGCCATCCTTACTGGGGTCATCCTTTGGCATCCTGAAATGTTGCTAGATATAATGGTATGATTTTCTACAGGTTTCTCTTCTAGATAGCTGGCATCTTGGGCTGGTTATATAGATAATGGGTTGGTTTCCTGTGCTGGTTACCAGAGACTGTGGGTCTGAGTTCTATCTCTCTATATGGTCTGGCCATTGTCTGTTTCTATATTCTCTCAGTCTCACCCTGGTCTTTCTCTCACTTCTGAGAAGTTGACTAATTTGGGGAAAACAGAGATTCAAATCTTCACTGCTTAGAGACTGTTCATCTTCATAGTGGGTATTGCAAGATTGGCTTGACCTTTTTATTGTTGTATCATCTCGGTGATCATCTGATAACAGTGCAGTTGCATAGAAGCATTTAAGACTCTGGACAAACAGACCAGCATCATGACCACTATGACAAAAGCAAGCACAATTAACAGTCCCTTGTCTGTTTCATAGACCCAAGTACAAGCAGTATTAGCAATAGCACAGATCCCACCATGACTAGCCAACAAGAAATCTAGAGCAACGAGACTGTCCATCACTACTTGTGTCCGTGAGTTGAGACAAATGTTTACTACATCTAGGGCAGAACTGGTGTCTTAAAACTTCTGCCAGTGCTAGTGATAGGTTTATTAGTCTTTTCTATTTGTATGATTCCCACTGATGGGAACACTACTCACATCGTTCACATAAACAATGAGTCAGTACTTCCCTCAGTGTGCTGAATAGTAGAACAGACCTCATTTTGGAAATCACACCTGAGTCGGATTTCCAACGTTGGTGATTTATAGAACTAGGGTCCCTCATGTATGGACAAGTTTTAAGATACTATTCCTAAAGTGCATGAGGTGTTAGTACGAATCCTGTGGGTCCTGGCCACAAAGGAAGTAGTGATCTGTTCAGGGCACATAGACATCTGGGAACAAAGGAGTCATTCATGATATAAGGTCAGAACCAAGGGCTTACAGGACTGGGTTACATTTTTGGATCTCTATTGGTCTCTTCCAGGTAGTAAGTTTTGGGCACATTGCCCTATGAAGATTATTGAAATCTAACTTAGGATCGCCTGAGTTCTCATCAAGATTGAAATAATCGGTTCTTTTTCTGGGAGAGAGGGACACTAGCAATGTCACACATTGATTCGTGTAAGGTCAAGGTCCATGTATGTGCAAGTGGAAATGCCATCTGCTGTAACTCCCTATGGTCTCATTTGATGCAACCTGCATGGCCCAGAGGTTTTATCATGGTAGGCTGGTGATGAATGGCATATCCTGCAGTAAGTGATTGAGGGTAGGGGCTGCTGTTAGGGATAACCTAATAAGGGTATTAAGATTATGTTCTGACCTAACCTAACCTTATAAGGAGGAAACGAGTAAAAGGGCCATTAGTGGTGATGACAAGGGGTCTGTGGAAAATGAGAAGTGGAACAATTACAGGCAAGCAGATTAAAAGAACAAAACAGTAATTTGTTAGACAGATGTCTTGCTGTGAGGTATCGAGTGGAAGCTGTCATCTGTTTGTTCCGAAGGTCTTGGGTCACCTGTCTGCTTTTGAAGATCAGCTCAGAATCCTGTTTGAGGTCTTGGATTGGAGTAGCCTTCCAATTGTGTGGAATTCTGGATTTCTTCTTTAGTTGTGAAACATGAGCCAGAGTGACTCCCTGCAGTTTCACTGCTCTATTTATTGCTAACAGCACCTGATAGGTTCCTTCCAATGAGATTTATGAGCAGTTATTTGGCGCGAGCCAAGCTACTCATGCTGTTTGACAAAGTCCAAGTATGGGGGACGATCCTGAAAACAGGAGACTCCACAGCTGGCTCCTGCTCTTCTCTTTCATTTTGTTTATGGCAATCTTTATAATTGTGGGAATATTTCTGGGCTGGCTCCTGCTATTCTTTTTCATTTTATTTATGGCAATCTTTATAATTGGAATATTTCTGGGTTTTATGATAAAGTGACTACTCATCTTAGTTACGTCTATCTAAGCAATCATAATGAAACTAATTCCACGAAGAATTAGTTTCTATAGAACAAAATAACAAGACGGTCACGCTCTGTCTAGCACCTTTCTCTTTGCGTACTGTTTTTTAGTTTTAGCGAAAGCCAATAAGCGGAAATCAATAAAGGTCATGTTAATCATTACAAAGGAAAAATGAAAGAAGGCTATGGCTGTAATCCAGAAAATGATCTAAGATTTGGAAAAACAAAAATATCCTAACATATAAATAAAGTTCCTCCGAGGCTGTCAGGAGGAGATGCTTGCAACCTGATCCTGTGTCTGTGTCTCCTCACTCGCCAACGCCGTCCTTTCCTACGAGAGACCCACCCCGGCTGGAGCTGGACTCCGGCAGTTATTCTCTGAGGTCTTTCCAACAGATGGAATCTACTAGTTGAAGATCATGAAAAAGCTCTTTAAAACATGTTTTCAGAAGGTGGCCTTAGTCAGTTGGTGACAGGACTGGATATATTATGTGAATCCCTGGCAATATTTTGCCATGTCTGCATGTAGCAGAGCAGTAACTAGTATTGGAAGTGAAATCCCTAGACACATGCATGAGTCTTCCAGTTTGTAATTCATAGGGAGATAAATGAGTAAGTGGACTCCATGGCCATAAGGGCGAGAGGGAATATCTTTGGCCAAGGGAGCTCAAAGGTTTCCGAAAGTTTTGCTGATGTTAACAATGCCAGTGGTCCATTCAACTTTTCTAGAAGATTGTGAGTGATAAAAGAGAGTGTTTATAATGGTTCCCATAAAGTGTGTGACATGATGACCTGATGTAGATGTAAACATTGGGATGATCCAGGGCTGGAAACAAAATCAATCAGCTTTTCAGCAAACTCACTCTGCAAATAGACATACAATCACTAAAATATATTCAAGTCCCATAGAGGGTAGAAGCTGGATAAAGTCCATTTGAAGGTGTTCAAGGGGCCCTTGAGGTATGGCCACCACTTATCCAGGTCCCCTTGGTGATGTGTGCATGGTCCAAGCCAGTAGGGATCTCTGTCCAGTAGGGATCAGAGCTTCAGGAAGAGCCAGGTGGGAACCTTACCCACCCCCTCATGTCAACCACAGCCCCTGCAAGGCCCCCCAGGTATAAATATCTCAATATTTTCCCCCAGTGGTCTTTTGCCCCCCTCTCCAAAGGCACTGCTAACCCTACTCCCCACCCCTTAGGACAATCATCACTCTTAAAAGATTCTCCATCTGAGGGGCGCCTGGGTGGCTCAGTCATTAAGTGTCTGCCTTCAGCTTAGGTCATGATCCCAGCGTCCTGGGATCGAGCCCTGCATCAGACTCCCTCT